ATACAATTCAATAAGGCTCTATCTCACTTGAATCTTTACTCTTCTCACATCCAAAATACTTAACCTTTAAAAAACAACTTAAGCATTATGGTATTCTATATCTTGATCAACTTATAACATTTGACAATTCATGCTTATTAGACTGAAAACACATCTCTCCTTGCATACACAAGATTCCAAAAGGCAAACAACCCCTTTGGTTTACTTTTTTAGAAGACCAAGTCACAAGCCATTCCTATAATCACATACTTTATCAACACTTGTATTTACTTGATACTAATTACTACAGTTATACAACTGGACACTTTTCATCACGCAAAAAACTATAACTTATTACTATACTTGATGATCAAATCATTGCTGGAAAAGCCAGAAGACAACTTTTAGCATCTGGATCGATTCTTATTACTTATTGGCAATGCAATATTAAATCACAATTTACTCGACTTTATCCTCTTCCACCTATTCAATCCTATATATATCCTAGATGCTCTCTCAACTCCCAAATAATTGCTAACAAATGTACAATTGTTATTCCTACTAATCTCTCAACTTAATTTTTAAGTCGAGTTAATAATTATAACAAAACCCTTAACTTTAATGCTAATTATCTCAACCTTATATACTTTATTGCAATCTAGCATCCTACTCAAATTTCAGATCTTCCAAACATTACTATTTTTACTCAACCAATTCCTGTAATTTTCAAACCTTGTTCACTTATACATAATCTTCAACAAATAGCCAACTATAATGTTAACTTATCAGAACTTCACTTTTATACTGATAGCTCTGTTATTGATTTGGGTACTCTACAATGCTTGATGGGTATTGGATAGGTCCAAATCTCTAATAACTCTATATTATATATATTTCAAGCTCAAACACAACTTTAGACTTGTTCATTTAAAGTTAAACTTACTGCCATTCTATCTGCCCTTATTACTGCTACTAGAAATAGTATCATAAACATATATACAGACTTTCAATCTGTAATTTCTAAATATTAAAACATTTTTAACTCTTCTACAACCTTATCTTATACATATATATTATACTTTTCACTATGAAACTCATTAATTAATTTTGTTAATTCATACAAAATTCAAATTATTTTTCACAAAATCACTGCACATCAAGATAATATATATAATAACCTTGCTGACCAACTGACACGAAACCATTACAACTTATCATATTTAACTTTTATGGCTTACAATATCTATACTCTAAATCTTAAAAACTTTTTTTTAGAATTACCTACTCATTATAGTATTCATACAATTTGTCATGCACACATCTATATACTATGGACTACACAAAACTAATTTCAAAAATAGAACAAAATCTTTAACTAAATTAATTGGTAAGCCACTTGGTTATATATTAACAATAATCAAAAAATCTCAAACTTCTCATATAGCTTTTAATCTTTTGTCCTTAAATCTTTTAGAATTAAAATTCTACTTAATGACCTTCCTATTTCACATATTCTTTACAAATGATATCACTCATACCCACTAATCTGTCATCAATGTTATGAAATCAGTTCTCACTTCTACTGGATAACATGTCTATATGATCAGCTGCTATACAACCTTATTGACACCTCTTTACAACATACTCTTAATACAAATACACTTGACACTACTTCAGAAACAATAACCAAACTACATTACCAAATTAAACAACTGTATTGTATAACTACACACAACACAGTAGACCTACCATCAGTCTTTTCAACCTTATCTGGCTTAGTACCACATGAAATTATCTCTATTATCTTAGACTTATCATCTAAAAAATTAGTTACAACACTTGTTATCAAATTTTTACTTCATCTTAACCAACAAATATATTATAAAATTTGAATTTCTTACTGTATTTCAAGATCAACATCTCATCCTTCACTTTCAACTCACTTTTAAATTTTACTTCACATTCATCTTAATTTTTTCTTTCTAATTCAATTCATTCTAAAATTAACTTCTAATATATACAATGAATCAAATACCAAACTAATTTTTTATATATAATTATTAACAACCAAATCTAGGTCACTCTTGTTAGTTTAGGTCACAGATAAACTAGTCTGAGCTTCTACTTTTTTTATAATATTTTTAATAGCAAATTTATACTTTATATAAAAATTTCAAATAAATATTCAATAAAGATAAAAGCATGACCTTACCATTAATATTAAAAAAAAAATTCTTAACTTTACACTTTTATTTTATGACTAACTATCAAAAACAAAAAAAAAACAAAATTTTGATTTATTTTATTAAATATATTTTTTTTGTTTAATAAACTTTCAAATATGTTAATTAACTTTTAATTAATTATTTTGAACTCAGATAAACCATTATAATATTATTAAATAATTACATTATTTATATAAAATTTTAATTAATATAGTTTAATCAAATCACTTTTGCATCATTTCTAATAATACTCAAATAACTATTTATATTAAGAAAATAAATCATTTAATTAACTTTTAATTAACTATTTCAAACTCAGATAAGCTGTTATAGTATTATTACATAACTGTATTATTTATATAACTATTAATTAATATATAATCTAATTAATTAATTATTTCAAATAATGCTGAAATATTATTTGTATTGAGAGAATAGATCATCTTCTTAATTTTAAAGATACAAATAATAATGATACATTATATTAAAAGCAGTGATCTACTCTTTCAATTTTCTGTTTTTTAAATAATACCTCAGCAAGTTTGTCATAATAGGCATCTAAATACTCTGGTTTTCTGAATATGATTTTGTCTTTATATGCATCTAATTTATATAATTAATAATACTGTCAACTTTTGAAATAATTTGTTTATAAATATTTGACTTACAAATATATTTGGTTTTATACTTAATATGCTTTTAACACAAATATATAGACACCAGTGAAGTGACAAGTTAGTTGCTTCTTAAACAGATATGTTGTATAATCTATGAATAGCTTAGTTGATAAGAGGCAGTTAGATTTGATAAGTGGTATATTTATGATCATAGGTTTTACAATATATTATTATAAAAGCAAAAAAGTATTTGGGCCAAGATATATTGCAAGCACAAAAACTTCCTATCATATAGAGCACAAAGCCTTTATTATATATTGTTTCATTACTTATGCACTTCTACAACTTTTAAAGATATTAACTTATTATTTATTATATATACTTTTAATATTCTATACTACTTAAAGCTCCTATATATCATATATCCCTTTACTTATAGTTTTCTCTTAAGTTCTTATTACCACTATTGCCTTTATATTGTTATGTGTAATTAGTATCTTTTAGTTTAATATGTAATTCATATTTTAAAGCAACTCATCAGAGGCATGACAATGATGCTTTAATACTTTAATTTAGTTTTAAGTCTTATTTTATGCATAGTTTATTTTGTAGTTTATTGTTTTCTTTTCTTGAAGCTTCTTTACAAAGTGGTATTATAGCTCTTTTTTATAATATTTTGATTTTAAGGTTACAATAAGTTATTCTAAATTTTTCTTTGTTTCTATTTAGACATGATTGGTTTTTTTCCTTATACTATGTCAATTTTATTTAGTTATTACTCACATTATTTTCTTTCATCATTACTCTTGTTATCTTCCTTCATTATTACTCTTATTATTACTCTTATTATATTATTTATAATTTGTAAAACAACTGGCTAACAAGTAGAAATATTTTTTTTTCAATAATTCCTTTATTTGTCTAATATCACCACTTTATATTTTCTGACTATTGTTTTTCAAACCTATCCTTTTTACTTGTAATATTCTTTCTTACTTATCTTATATGTACTACATATAAGAAGAAAAGAGAGAAAAAGAAAATTAATTTATATATAAAAATATATATAAAAAAAATTTTTTTTTATATAAATTTTTACAACTATAATATTTCTTTAGTAATTTTCATTTAATCAGCAACTTAATGATCTTTCTCTTGATGATATATATGAAGCTTATAAACTTCTTTTGGTAATACTCTGTGAATAATAAAGAGTTCTTTCTATTTAGGATTGAGTTTGTTATTTTTCGAGATTGCTTGTAAACCTTATAAACCAAAACAGGATTTCTCTTTTCCAAGTTTTCTATGATTAGTAATTGTTGATCATGCCTTTTTTGGCTACTTTCTGTGCTTGTTCAACTCTTTCAACTGCTAAAGCTCTAAATTGTGGCATTGCATCAATTAACTTAAATAATATTATAGAAAAGTCCCTTCTAATAAGCTTTTTAATTCACTTGAATGTATTGGAAGACATGTTTCTCTTTTATAAACTAGATAGTAGAGAGTTATTTTGGTTGTATCTTGTTTTGCTGTATAATATGCAAAAAGAATTAACAATATTATTAAATCTTATTTCCAAATATTAGTTAAGAGTTTGGCTATGAATTTGCAGAGTGTTTTGTTGAATCTCTTAACTAAGCTATTAGTTTGTAGGTAATAGGGCATGAAAAAGTAGTAGTCTATTCTGAATCTTTTTAGGAATTCTTCTATTAGATTGTTTTTAAAGTGTCTACTTCTGTCAGACAATAAGTATTAAGAACAACTATGCTGATATACAATGTCTTCATAAATGAAGTCCACTACTTCATTTGCATTTGCTACCTTAATGGCCTTGGCCTTTGGCTATTTAGTCATATAATCTGTTGCTATAACTATGTATTTATTCTCTTTAATTGTTCTTGGTAATGGTCTAACAATATCAATCTTTACTTTAAAAAATAGGGTCTCAACTAGAATTAGATGCAAAGGGGTTTTTACCAAATTATTACACCTTCTTTGACAAGCATCAAATGTTTGCATATATCTTCTTATTTTTTTATACATTTGAGGCCAATAGTATTTGTTTCAGATTTTGTAATTATTATATCTTTCTTGAAATAACCTTCAAGCAGATAAGTATGCATTAAAAATAAGATAGGTTTGACTTCATGTTTCTATATAATCCTTAGTAGTTTATTGAATTAATATTTATTCTTTTTGTAGATTAATCTCTTTTTGACTATAAAGAATTTGCTCTGAGATTGTAGGCTTTGTTGTTGTTGTAAAAAAAAGGTATGCAGTAGTTTTTGTTCTGTCAAATATAGTTTTAATTGTTGATATTGTATTGATTTTATTTTTTAATTTGCTAAGATACTGACTATTTGGTCAGAATTAAGTTTTTTATTAGGTTTTAATTTTTTTATATATTTTGTATCTTTTGTTACTAGTAAAAGCAATTTTACTCTTTTCATGCAATGTTTATTGTCATGCCAACATCTAGCTATTTGTATATAGCTTACAATTAAAGTATATATCCTTTTTTGTGCAGTGTTTACTATCATGCTAACACCCAACTATTTGTATGCAGCCTACAATTAAAGTATTTTTTTTTTCATGTAGTATTTACTGTTATGCCAATATTTAGCTATTTGTATATAGCTTAGTGTTATATTATACTTAATTTCAATTACTTTTTACTAGCAAAAAAAATTTTTTTTTTTTTAGTTTTGTATATGAGAAAAGATGTTGACATTCAAATGTTTTTAACCCACTTAGTGAACTATTATATAGTTGTAAGGTTGCAACTTAAATATTTATTATACTGTATTTTTTTTCCTTTTAGTTTGGCAGTACTTAATCATTTTAGCATCATATGGTCTATAACTAATATAAAATGTCTTGTATCTAAATAATAATAAAACTGTTAAATATCTATAGTATTGCTAAACATTCAAGTTCTGGTGCAAAATAGTTACACTTAGTTCTTGTAAATTCTCTGTTGGCATAAGCTACAATATATTCATAATTTTCTTTATTTTTTTGAACTAAGATCATGTCTAATCCAGTAGCTAAAGCATCTATATGTAAGTAAAACATTTTTTTAAACTCTGAATATTACAGAATAGACACTATTATTAGATGTCTTTAAAGTTTCAAATGCATAATATTGCTTTTTAGTCTATTTCTAAAGGATATTCTTTTCTAGAAGTTAATATATTGGTTGGACTATTGTTGCAAATCTCTTGATGAATCTTTAATAATATGATGCTAGTCTAATAAATCCTCTTAACTGGTAAAGATTCATTAGTTTTGAAAAGTTTTTTACTTTCTCTATTTTGGCTTTATCAGAGCTTATGCTATTATTACTAATTATATGTTCAAAAATAATAGAGTTTTAACTAAAAGAACTCACATTTCTCTATATTTAATTTTAGTTCAGTATTCTGTAATTTATTGAAGCCAATTTTTAAGTAATTGAGGTGTTCTTTAAATGTTTTGAAATATATATTTATGTCATTAAGATAAATATAGCATATTCTTTAATATATTCATATAAGACTTTATTTATTAATCTTTAGAATAAATCAGGTGCATTACAAAGTTCAAATAGCATTATATTGAATTTGTAATTGCCATATTTCATAATAAAAATTGTCTTTTCCTTATCTGCCTCTTTCATTTCCATCTGCCAGTAGCTACTTATCAAATTTAAGGTAAAAAACCATTCAGCACTGCCAAAAATATTAAAAAGGTCATTAATATAAGGCAGAGAGTAAATATCCTTCTTTGTAACTGAGTTTAATTTTTGGTAGTCTACATAAAACTAAAACTTTCTATTTTTTTTTAGTACTATGATGACAAAAAAAGCCCCAAAACTAGTTGCTTCTTTAATTAATTCTTTATTAATTTTTTTTTTATTTCTTCTTTTACAAACTTATTCCTCTTTTGAGCTAATCTATAAAATTTTTGCTTGATTAGTGCTGCATCTTCTGTGTTAATTACATGTGTAATAATATTGGTTTGCTCTAAATCCTTTAGGTTTGAGCAAACAAATCTTTTTCTTGATTAAAAAGTTTTTTAAACTTTTCTTTTTGTTTGAATTTAACACTTTATTATTGAAGAATTTTCAAAATGTCTCTTCAAAAGGTTTTTCATCATCTTTCTTGTCTTTATTTAGTATCTTCCTTACAGAAACTTAGATTTCTTAATGCATAGTAACTGCGTAGTAACTGTATAGTAACTATATAGTCACTATTAAACTTAATAGTAACTATATAGTTTCTATGTAGTCACTGTGCATTAAGATATTCAAGTTTTTGTATAGTTCTTGATATTAGTCAAGTATAATGTAAGATTTTCTTTATATAATATCAGCCAGGTTTTAGTAAAAAGACCTTTAGGTTTATTAGGTTCCACTTTTTTCTCATAGCCAAATTTATTGAAAGTATTACTACTTTTACTATTAGATTCAACTTCCTTTTTTAGTATTAATATTTTTATCTTTGTATTTGATATTGGCACTTCTGCTAACTTATCTAAGTATTTTAGATATAGTTTTTGCTTGTCAAAGTATATGCATGTATTCACCTTTTGGAACCAGTTAGTTCCTAATAACAACATTCTTTCAGAAGATTCTAGAACTTATAAGATAGTAGATATTATAATATCTTGAATAACTATTTTTGAATTTTTTATCTTTCCTAACATTTTGGCCTTAGTTTCTATCACTATTACTACAACTATTGATAACTCTTTATCAATTTTAAGACCAATTTTATCTGACAGCCTTTTTGACATAATACTTATAACTGCTCTCGAATTAAGGACTGCAGTTAATGTATTATTATAGATTTTTACACAACATCTTATTGCAGTTATTTGGTAACCTTCTTCATAGTTAACAAAATTAGTTTTAGTTGATGATGATGTTCTTTTTAATATTTTAGCCAGATTCCTTCTCTGATTAGAGTATTAAAGTATTTGGCCTACTGTAGTACTAGTTAGTAAGAATAGAATTTCATCTGTGCAGTTATTTAGTTTTAGTATATCAACTATAGAGGGTTCAAGTTTTCTTCTTGGTTAACTTGTTGACTCAATTTTTTTATTAATAGAACTATTAATTTTTATTTTTTGTTTTTTAGTAGTTTTCTTGATTGGTTGCATTTTTGTTATCTTTTTATCTCTTAATTTACTTTTTTAATTTAAATTAGTTGTTGTTTCATACCCTTGTTCATAGCTATTCTATCCCTGATAGTATACACTTTTTCATTTTCTCTTTTTTTCTTTTACTAACTTATAGAAATTTATGTCTCTAGATGGATTTCAAGATTTTTTGTAATTTCTTTGATTGTTATTTAATATTTTTTTTTAGAATGATAATTCTTGACTAGGTGGCCTTGTTTATTGTAGTTAAAATATTTAAATTTTTCTTACTATTTTCATGAAGAGTAAGGAAGGTAAGGATGTTTAATATTTATATTTTTTAATTTATTAGCTAATGTGATATAATTTAATACTATTTGATCTATTTTTTTTTTATATCTTTTAATTCTGCTTTGTTTTGTAATTTTTTTTTCTTTATTTGCTTGTTGGCCATAGTAGTTTCTAGTTTTGACTTTTTGTATTGCAGCAATGATCTCATTTAGATTCTTGGATGTGATTACAGTAACAAAAATGGCATTTTTATTTTTAAACCTACTTAAAAACATTTTCACTACATAACTGTCAGAGAGGTTATTATCAAGATTTATTTTATTGAGTAATTTTTTAAACTTCATAGCATATATATTTACTCTTTTCTCCTCTTTCTGTTTCAGATTATTTAATTCGATTTTGTCAATGGTATTATCTTTCTACTAGTGCAAAGTTTTCTACTAATAAATAAAAAAACCTTTAGCTTTTTTCTTTTTTATTCTTGCTTTCAGTTTTTCAATACTTAATGTCTGTCTTGTTCTCTTTGTACCAATTTACAACTATTTTTTTCAAATAATCTGAAGTGATTTGCAGCTTATATTTTTCAGCTCAATTATTAGCTTCTGCTACACATTCGAATTCATCAATCCATTTGATAGGGTCCTTGTCTACTGTCCAATAAAAATTCTTAATTTTCACAAGGTTGTTTTTTTTGGAGTTAGATTTATTTTCAGAAAAGAACTTAGTTATCATTTTCATAAATTCTTTGAATTAATCTGTATTTATTTTTATAAGATTTATTTTTATTAAGGTTAGAAGTCAGAATCTCACAGTCACCACCAAGCATTACAAGTGGTTAGTATCTTTTAATTTGATATGTAATTCATATTTTAAAGCAAATTACCAAAGGCATGACAATGATGCTTTAATACTTTAATTTAGTTTTAAGTCTTATTTTATGCACAGTTTATTTTGTAGTTTATTGTTTTCTCCTCCTGGAGCTTCTTTACAAAGGGGTATTACAACTCTCTTTTATAATATTTTAATTTCAAGACTACAATAAGTTATTCTAAATTTCTCTTTGTTTCTATTCAGACATGATTGGTTTCTTTCCTTATACTATGTCAATTTTATTTAGTTATTGCACTCGTCATTTTCCTTCATCATTACTCTCGTTATCTTCCTTCGTCATCACTCTCATCATCACCCTCGTCATCATTTATAATTTATAGAACGACTGGCTGACAAGTAGAAATATTCCTTTTTCGGTAATTCCCTTATTTGTCTAACATCACCACTTTACATTTTCCGACCATTGTTTTCCGGACCTATCCTTTTTACCCGTAACAATAACTTCTAAACGACTTTTACGACCGATAATCCCGGTAAACCCAATTTTAGGTAGATGATCGACATAGCCATTAATTGCGTTACTGCGCCACATCGATCATCCCCTGCCAGTGCTTCCGGGATCATGTTTCACGGCTCACAATATACTGATCCAGTACATGCACGAAATTGTTACACGGATATGAAAATGCCTGAACAAATACTACCTTGATGGATGATCGACAAAGCTGGCACAAAACTTTTTTGTGCATACAATTGGTTTTGCAATTGACATTATGACGAAATGAAAGAATATGTTGCATATGGACTTATTAAGCTTATTGGGTTGTATGCATAACGTGCATCACATACGAATTGTAACTCCTTTTAACTAATTTGGTCGATATTTATTACTTCTTATCTAGATGCTTGAGTTGCTTAAAGGGAGTTATGGGGTGGTCAACAATCACTTTATCAACAGCCTATTCACCGATAGTCAATTTGCCGGACAAGTTTATTTCACCAACAGCCTTTCACCGACAAAATAATTCTGGCCACTTTGGTTAGGGTCAGATTAGAATTAGAGCTCACGAGTTCACATGCCGTCCGATGATCTTCACAGAATGATAACTCTGGCCTTTAAGAGATGTGACAGACCCTAAAGGTGTCTAAGGACCTCCGGGATAGCGAAGGAAGGTGAAAAAAAAATTAGAGCTAAGGTTAGTGCAATTTTTTTTAAAAAAAACTTGGGGAAATGGGTTGTCGATGAGTTAGTTTTCAGTGAAATATATTTATCGATGAATTGATTGTCGGCATATTATGTATGTACGTAATAAAAACCATAATTTCGGATAAACATTTATGTATTTATATTCAAATTAACTGATTAATCCATAAATCAAACATATGCCTAGTTCTATATAAATGTGTATTTTAATTTTTTCACCATTATAAGTAGCTGCTCAACGCATTTATGCAAATAAGGGTTGGGAAATGTGTTGCATGTAAGATTTAAAGGAGAACTTGAAATTAAGTTGAATCAAGCTTAAAAGTACAAATACAATGCCGCAATCTTTATGAAAATTTATAGTGTATTGTTCAAATAATTTCTAGACTGTAATAGATAAAAGTCTGATATACTTAATTAATAATTTTAATTATAAGCATCTCCGTGTTTATACAACTATTAAAATGCAAATAACTTTTATGTTCACTAATTAAGTAAATAAGTTAATAAATATTTATGAATTTAGTAACAAGACGCTTGAGGTTTTCAAGGGAATGAAAATCTTACTTGTTAATTGTTTGTTATTCAAGTCAGCATTTCGCTTTTAATTGAATTAAATAATATTATTTAAGTTTTTATCGTCCTACTCCTTCTGTAATTTGTAAACTAAGGATAATATATAAGTCTTTGTTTGACAAGTTTTAAAGTCATAGTTATTGCTAATAGGCTCTGGTTCTACAAGTAGTGCAAAAATCTCATATGTAGTAATTAATCTCTACAACTTATAACATAGTAATATAAGGACTTTATATTATAATTAGGTTCTATATTTGCTACAAACAGTAAAAGAATATATATTTTTAATAATTATATTCTTATAGTTACAATAATACAAAAATTTATAAATTAATAATAGTATTATTAATTTTAAATAAATATATTGGATTTTAATATATTTATCTTAGTGGTTACAGTACATACTTTGTTATAAAGTAGTTTGTTGAATAAAACTAATTTTTTTAGTTTAAATATTCTTATATATAGTATTTTTATAAATCTAAACCAAGCCAAACATTAATATAATTTGAGTTTGTTGATAAACTCTACCATTTTTTTAATCTTTTAATCAAGTTTTGAGTTTGGTTTTGGTTTGAAGTTTCATACTAGTTTGTATTTGAATATATATAAAATGTCTTTGCATAGAATTCATTCCAATTTATATATTGGATATTTAAATCTGAATTTATTCGGATATCTGTTTTACTATTGATATCCGGAAGATTATCCGAATATTTGTTTGATTATCCGGTGTAATCGTACGATGACGAGTCAGTCGCTTATCGATCGGATCTTTCGTGTAACCTTTATGAAGGGTAAATCAGGTCGAAAGCGGCGTGTTAGATTTGTCGAGTGGTTCGCTTGGTATTGGTCGGGTCTATTGGTGCAAGATGGTTCGGATTGGTCTTGATCAAAGATACTAATGTGCGTTAATGGTTATAAGTTAAGGACGGTTTAAGTAACAATGATTGTGTTTTTAATAAAGGTGTCCGTTTATTATTATCAACAAGCAGTTTTATAAATGATTATGTGTTAAATGTGTTATGTATTGGTTATTGAGGGAGGAGTTATCCTTCCCAAAGGGCCTTTTCGGCCTTTATTTATAATTAAAATCTTCTATTTACATTATGCGATGGATACGACTGATATCACTGATACTACTAATCAGTCGTATCCTACTGATATTTCCCTTCTACTCGATCGCTGCTATCCGCCACATTCGACGCATGCGTCACATGCGACGGATGCGATCGACTCCTTCCCTAATTAGGTAATATCCCACCCCGAACGGCCAGGGTCCATTCGGGTCCCACACCGGATATCAATAGTAAATGGTATCCGGAAAAATTCAGATATGGATAAATGGATGACGGATTTATTCGGATTGGAACTCTATCTTTGCATATTAAATAAATTTACTTAGAACATAAAATTAGAATAAATTAGTAAATTTTGAATAATACAAATAAAAACATGTTTATGTGGGCAAAATATCCTTCCCAAGAATTTTATTAACATACCCAAGTTCAGACAGCCATATTTTATATTTACAAGTTTTCATTTTCTGCTTCGTCAAATTTCTATAATTTGATTGGTCCGGTGTCACTTAAATTTGCTCCGTTTTGCGACCTCAAAATAGAAAATAAACAACGACTTTCTCGAAATAGAACTAGTCAATGACTTTTCTGCATTGAAAATAGAATTAACATTAATGACCTTCCTAAAAATATAAATAAAATCAATGATAAACGAATTTACGTTAAATCAAATACACCATAACATCCAATCCGAAACGCAAGAAGAATGAGGCTTTTCACTTAAGTGATACATAGATTTTAAAACCAAATTATGAAATTCATAGCAACTGATTATTGATACTGAAAATCCTGAAAGATAAATGCCATTGTTCTATATAAAAAATTTGATATAAAAAGAGTGTATTTTCTAACAATAATCGTTAAAATAAATAAATAAAAAATATCTTTTTTTGTTGAGGATCTAGATACTATCTATTTTAATCGATCAGTTAATCTTTATAAATTCCAATTTTGACAATTCAAAGTAAATTAGTTAACTATGGCAAACTCACGTAATATTGACCTTATTAATGCGGCTTTTTCGGCCGTAATGGGAACCCACAAGTTCATATCAGAAAAAGAACTTCAAGGTAGACAAGCCCGTGGTGAAACTAATGGCGCAATATATAACCAGGTTGACTTAAACTCGTTTCATCAAGTCAATCTTGTTGGCAATGATCTGAATATTGCCAGTAACTTGGACACTGATTGTAACCGTCGGTGCGCATTTGAACAATCGAATTCTTATCTAGGACAAATCTTTGTTAAATCGCTCACCGGTAAAATCATAACACTAGAATGTAAAAGAAATGATACTATTGAAACTATTAAGTTGAAAATTCAAAATATGGAAAACATTCCACCAAATCAGCAGAAATTAATTTTTGCTGGAAGGAGATTGGAGGATGACAAAATGCTTTCCGATTATAATATCCAAAAAGGAAGTACATTGCACCTGATTTTACGTCTACGTGGAGGTGGGTGTATAATTAGTTACATAAGTGTGAGTGTTTTAGACCCGCGATATGACTATGATTTTACAAATATTAATGATATGGAAGTGACATTTATGCGGGGATATATACTATATAAAAGACCATGTGGATGGAAACGCATCGCTTTAAAGGTTGCTGGAAAGTATGATAACGGTAATGATAAATGGCTTGGTACCGATCAAAATGCTTGGCCAGTATCGTATCATGGCACTGCTACACATAATGCAAAATCAATTGCTGAAGATGGTGTTAGACCCGGAACACGTGATCAACGAATCACCGATTTCGTCGTAAGATCATCGTCACACGATCGTCCGTCATGATTTTGCCTCGGCTAGGAAGATCTCACCAAAGTTGGAATCCCGTGCTTATAATGATTATAATGCGTATATTGCATATATTGATTATAATCAGTATAATCAATATATGCGATATAAGCGCTATCATCATTATAAGCGCGATAATGGATATCGGCACCCTAACAATAGATAGAATTTTGCTTATAAATAACCTGTAAGTCCGTCCTAATAACAAGGCGGATTTGAACATAAGAAATAATAAACAACTTACCTTGCATACATCAAATAAAGGTCCTTCTACAAGTGACTGTAGAGAACCATCGTCATAATAAAATACCTACCCGTAATAGTAATAAATCCCACCTCCGTTAGTCTAGTATTCCCGAAGTAGTGTGGAATACTACAATTCTAGAATAGTAGAGTGATAGTCTTGACGTAGTGTAGACTATCCAAGATAAGTCAGACCCGAATCGAAATCGCTCGCCAAATCTACATGCCTCTTTCGACCGAAAGCCGTCCGAATGTTACACGAAGTCGACCTTCGACTAGCGACAGACTTGCCGATTTAGGGCATCTCAATAATATTAGCAAATAGGTATATATTAATTAATGAAATTCTTTTTATATTGTTTGGGTCTTGTCAATGCTTAATTTGTTGTTGTTTGTGATGTTGGTCACACGCTTATTGTTGAAATTATACATGAACTAATACATATGTAAAGAGTTTTCTTGTTGATTTAGAAAGTAGTGGTAGTTTGAGTTTTTTGTTAAATTAGGTGATATTATTTGTAAATCTAACAAAATATTAAATCTTTATGTTGATATAATTTATACAATAAATTTTTTGCCTATTTGGACATTGCAGATTAGATATAAAAACTTTTGTTTTAGTTTTAATTTTAGTTATATTTGTAGGTATCTTAAGTTTGCATTTAATATAATTGTTTAGTATAACTTTAAATATATAATATTCTTTAAGTATTTTAATTATTTTTTTTGTTATTGTAATTAGGTCTTATAAATTAAAAAAAAAGAAATATTATATTTTTCTATTCAGGTTATAATATGTATAGGTAAATTTAGTTTTGGATCTAATAAGTTGAAGTATTTGTTTAAAATATTGTTAAAGTTATAAAATAATAACAAATTTTGTTTATAATATTTGAAATTTTATAGTTCTTTTTTATCTCTAATTAAAAATAGGTCTTTACTATTTGGATATAAATCTTTAAAGTCTTCTTGTAATAGTTTTTTATCTTAAAATATTTTTTTAATAAAGTATTAGATTTGTATATTTTATAAAGAGCAATTATTATTAACTTTGTTTTATATTTGTATATAATAGATAGACTGTAAAGAAGAAGTTGTATTTCTATTAGAATTTTATCAAAATGGCTTAAAAGTATTGTTCAAGTCTTGTTCAAGTATTGTTAAGTATTTTTTTTATTATTATTTGTAGATTGAAGATAGGTTTACTTTTGATAAAGCCTTTTATATATTTTATTATTTTTTCTAGTGTGTTGTTTGGTATTTTATTAAAGTTGCAGTTTATAATTTAGTCTATAATAATTTTTTTTTATAGCTTGGTTTCTATAGTTTTTTATACTTGTGTATTATTTTTTTTTTAATGTTAAGGTGAATACATGTGATTTAGAAGTTTATTAATAGTATTTGGCTTGTAGTTATTGTATACAACAACTATAAAAATAATTATGAAAAGAGTATACAACTAGTTACTTATATAACTTTAGTTATTATTTAATTTAAGTAGTTTGCCCAAAGATTTACACTAGTAGTCATACTTAAAACCCATTTGTGAGTTCTCTGTTTAAACATTCTAGTTCTCATATCCACTACTATTCTACTAATTGCACCTTAGCACAAATATGTTATGATCACTAAATTATGTTTAACTTTATATTAAATCTATCAGAGCCTTTTATATTCTATACTTATAGCTAACATAATATTATTTTGGCCTAATCTAGTACTTGCAGTTAGGACTAATCATTAAACTGCTATATCTTTATAAAGTTGATTCAAATTCCAATATCTATCTTTTTAATATCTTTTCTATCATCTTCTACTAAACATTACTTAGAAATAACAGAATTTTTTAAACTATCAATTCAGATAGCTTAGTATGATATACTTATATATTCTTTTTTCTTTAGTAATTTTGGCAGTCTAATTGGTCATATGCTCTTTTATATATCTTATTATCTGGTTTTATTTAATTATCTTTTTAAAGATGTTTCATATAATTTCATTAATATTAAAAGTTTATATTATTTCTTTATTTAAAATTTCTAAATAGACTTTTAACTTCTCAGTTTTTTAGTCTTTTATACCTGGTGGTCTTGTCATAGATTTGCACTAAAGTCTTATGCAATACTAGTTTTTTATATTTCTATATATATGCATAATATTATATTTGTATAAATGTCTAAGTTTTCAATATTAGGTAAAGTCTAACATGATGTAATTAAAATTATAGATACTTAAATTTAACTAATTAACAAAAGACAGTTATTATAATACAAGTATAATTTTTAAATTTTATTGTTTATAGAATTTGAATTTTAGATCTGCCACTTAAGAGGTAATAACCTGTTCATTTCACTAAGTTAATATATTTACTTACTTGCTTATTAATAATAGTTATACTTTTAATAATTTATATTTTCTTTAATAGGTTGATTATGTTATTTTGTTTTTTGTAAATATAATAAAAAATGCTGTATTAAAGTATTTAAATTTAAAATTAATAAGTTCTTAATTAATTATAGTTTTATTATTTATAATAATTATTTACTCAACCTTTATTTTCTAATTAAATTATTGAAGTTTATAAGATGCTAGTTTATATTTAATAACAAATAAACAAAAAAGACTAAGCTTATTCTAGTTAAGTTATTATACTTATAAACATCAAAAAAATTACTAATACATCTATATAATATATTATTAATACAGTCATTATTCTTACAATTAAATATTACTTTTATAATATAATTTTTAGTTAAAATACATGCAACAAAATTCTTATTAATTAAATTAAATTTGTTAAAAATTAAAACAAACTTAATTATATAATTTTTATTAGTATACTATTTCATTTTCAACTTTATAATATTTGTAATATATAAAATATTTAACTATAACTCTGTATTACAATTATACTAAAAAACTTAACTCTTTTGATTTTCTTAATACTAGTAATTTATTTAGTTTTTAGAATTTAAAATTATATTTAGTTACCTATTAATATTTTAATATATAACAATTTTACTATTAATGAGCCAAATAAAAATTTAACTAATTTTAAAATTATTTAACTTTTTAAAATCTTGGTATAATATTTATTTCTAATTTAATTTATAACTTTCCACATACTATTTAAAAGAATTTTATCTTATTAGAATCATTTTTTTTTATATTCTAAATATTTAATTTTTAAAAAATAACTTAAACATTATTATATTCTATATTTAGATCAACTTACATATTTAATAATTTATATTTATTAGATTGCAAATACATTTTTTCATATATATAAGGTTTCAAAAGACAAACAGCTACTTTTATTTACTTATTTAGAAAACAAAATTACAAGTCATTTTTACAATCACATATTATATATACTTATATCTACCTAATACAAACTATTACAACTACACAACTAAACATTTCTCATCTTATAAAAAATCATGTTTATTACAATACTTGATAATCAAATTATTACTAGTAAAGTCAGAAAATAACTCTATTCATCTAATACTATACTTATTACTCATTAAAAATATCAAAATTGAATCACAATTCACTTGTCTAGATCTTCTTTCACTTATTTAATCTTATGCATATTCTAACTGCTCTTTTAATTCCTAAACAATCTATAACAAATATACAATTACTATTCCTACTAATATTTCAACTCAATATTTTTGGTTGAATCAATACACACAACCAAGCTCTTAACTTTAATGCCAATCACCTTGACCTTATATACTTAGTTGCAATTTGACATCTTACTCCAATTTCAAAACCACCTAATATTATTATTACAGGACATTCAATTTAAGTATCTTTGAACTTAGCTCACTAAATGATGTATGGTTATATTCAATTGATGTGTTATTGTCACATCAAAAGATGGTATCTAACATTTGCTGTAACTAAATTACATCAATATAAAAAGTTACAGCAATATAAAAATATTACAGCACTACAAAATGTTATGATATAGAAAATAAAAATTATGTAATAAAATGATTATATTAAACAGGAGTTTTTTTGATTTAATTATCAATCAACCAAAGAATTTATCAAAGAATTTATCCTACATAGCATGCTTATTACACTTTACAGAGTAGAGCAAATATTTTATATTGTAAAACTATATATTCTTGTAGCATCGAGAATATTGGATTTTTGTATAGCATGCTGATTTAAGACATGACAGTAAATAAAGTATTACTAGATATGTGAAAATATTACAGAAAAGGACATGGCAAAAGCAGATGTTACAGCATAAGTCAGGTGTAAGTCAGAAGTTACTATATAAATCAGATATTATGCAGAAGTCAAATTTTACAACACAGATCAAATGTTATAGCATACATAATTTATGGTCTTTGGACATATTTCAATTGACGTTATAAGTTCACCATATGTCTGCACCTATAGATGAGAAATACGTATTGAGATTTTACCTGGTAAGTGTTATCCGAAGTCACATATAGGCTGACAAACAATCTGGCTACCATTTTTTCTGGGTGATGCTAGGGTTGTTCAGTGTTAAGCACTCGTTAGATGTTACGGCAAACGTCAGGTATTAAAGTAACTGTTAGTTATGCATATTTGATGTATCTTCACGTCTTTGAGTTATGTCCAATTGACGTCAAGAACAGTTATAGCACTAACATATATCTATATCTATATATAACATAAAATTTTGATCTGCCGAGGTCATTATGTTTTTGAATTTTTGAATTCGGTGTTATTGGAATTGGATTTTCAGCATTACAGTAATCAATTTTTATTAGTTGTCCCAGAATTTATAAAAAAAGCTATAATGCAACTCTTGGCTTTATTTGTATTACCTGAGTCCTGTAGTGTTCTTTCTCCACTTGTGAATCTATATTTATTTTTTTAGCATTTTATTTATTGACAACATAATTGGGCATTTCATTCATTAACAAAGTGATTGGTCATTTATTGGCAAAGTAATTGGGCATTTTATTTATTGGCAAAGTAATTTTAATTTAAACAATAAATATGGTCAATGTATGCTCTGTAGGTAATATTAATACAAATCTAAAATTTCAGGCTTCAGATATTTAAGTGATAGTATTTATAGTTAAACAAATTCAAATTATTACGCAGATATTCGTACACTCTAAATTCATAAAGCACTACTAGGAAAATTTTAAGTTATATATATATATATTTTTATTTTTCAATAATTTTAATATGTCTAAGCCAAATTTTATTATGTTTACTGAAGAAAATTATCATGAATTGAAGGGAAAGCAAAAGCCTATTGAAAATGGTAATATTTTATAGTTGTCTGAGTCATTTGTTAATAAACTTCATTTCTAACGTCGGTATGTATTAAACGTTTAGAAAATGTCAATATAAGATAAATAATTTTGATCAAAAATTCATTGACTTTTATCAAAAATTCAATGACGTTGATCGAAATTTCAATGACTTCGATCAAAAAATAAATTACTTCTATCAAAAAATAAATTACATCTATCAAATGATGAATCACATCTATCAAATGATGAATTGTTTCAATAATACATTTCTAACTACTCCGAACGTAACGTTTGCTGATGTATATCTCGACAAGATACCAGAGTTGGATGAAAGAATTTCAATCCTTGAGAGTTCAAGACTTCAATATGAAGAATTTTTACCCTGAAAATCTATAACTTTTTTTTTTTTTATAAATTAGTCAATTTGGTATTTTCAAATCTTAAAATTATTGGTGCATATTTCCTGTATACATTACCCCTTGAATAAGTAATAAGATCCTACCATTTTTGATACTAATCAAGTACGTAGTAATTTATTACGCTTCGGGTATTGTATCCAGAGCTGTACATTGCCAATATTTCATTATCTCATTGACCCTTATGCTCCATGAGTTTACATTAAGGTAATTAATAAAAATAAGCATAAGTTAGCTTTATATTGGTAAAGTTCAAGAATTTAATTTTTCGCAAACAAATAAAAGCTATATCCATTGGGAATCATTCGACTTTTGCTTTTTTTCTTGTTGAAATAACCCATTTTCAATTCACATCATTAAATGACCAGTCGTTTTACATTCAGAAAATTTATTTTGAATCACTTATCTTTGCATTTTGGTTCTTGAAATAATATTGAAATTTCCTTTAATAAACCTATTTGACTTCTATAAATAATTAATATTTCCTAGCATGATAAAATCATTGCATTACGTGCAATTAATGTTTAGCGTACAGAATTGGCATGTGTTCATAGAAATGTAGATTTCTTAAAAGAATTACCATGTGATCATATTCTTCATGCCAAATTTGCTTACTTGTGAAACCATATTCGTTTTTTTCCGCTGTATGTTCTAAGACAAAGCAAATTTTCATTTCATTTTATTTAGATAAAATAAATTAGAATTTTAAATAAACAAAGTTGGTAAATTTATGCACCGTATAAAACACGAATACAAATATAAAATTTATGACTTCAAAGATATTTAAGTGATGGTAATTTATCTTATGATGAAATCCATTTATTATTTCAAAATTCGTTAAAATTTTTGTCGTAATCTTCAAATATGTAATTTTAGCTCGTTTACAAAATTTTATTAAACTATAATAAATTTATTCTTAGTATTCTGATTCTTGAACTATTAGCTTTGAAGCTCTCATAGTTATGCAGTGAGTTTTTTACATTAAAAGGACTTTAAATATTTGACCCACTGTTGTTCAAAAGATTATAGGTCTATTACTAATCTCAAATAATTCCTAATTAGGTTGTTCAGAGGTGAAATTAAACAACCACAGGACAGCCTTCGTTAATCATGTGGTTAAAGATGACCAATAAGATTTAATTAAATGCCAAGAATATTGACGATAGCTACTATCAACTTTGAACGATTTTATACAATGAGTGATTTATGTATGTTTCAATAAATATAAACTTAGTATACGAACTCAATGGATTAGAATTTAACATTAAATTCTCTTTACTTTTTATTTAATCTTCACAGAAGCAACGAAATGACCAATGTAACCAAGTAAAAATAATTAGATAATGCGTTTCATAGTGATCGAAATAGTGCACAAGTATAGGATGTGGTATGTAAGGGTGTTCATATGATAAAATCAACTCCAAAAATGCTGGTTTTGTATAAAAATCCAGAACTCACTTAAATTTTGTTACAACATCCACAAGTATTACTATTACTGTGATTCTCTAATAATTATAGTGACAAAAATAAAGACCTCGATCACTACTTAATTATATTCTAAATCATTTTAAAAAATATAATATAATAGCAGCAATATTTTAATGTGTCGAAAACGAAGATTATGTAAAAAAAAATGAAACCGCTTGAATATTATCTCTATTTACTTTAATAATTATAAAGGTGCGATAAGCCAATGCAAAAAAAAGTTAAGTCGGGCCAAAAAGTTTTTTGACTGAAATGATAAACTAACTAACCAATTTTCTCTATTTAAATTTCCTTTGGCCTAAATAAACCACGTATCCTATATCTTATTCATCTTAATGATAAACTAACTAACCAATTTTCTCTATTTAAATTTCCTTTGGCTTAAATAAACCACGTATCCTATATCTTATTCATCTTAATGACAAACATGGTTGGCAGTTAAAAATACCTTCCATTACATTTCCTACACGCCTTGACTTATTAATTGAACGCCCACGGTTTAAAGAACAAAAATGATAAAGTATAAACCCTGTTTGCCCACCCAGAAAGTATCCCTTAAACTTTTTTCTAGGCAATTTCATAAACGATCTAGTCTAAATTGCAGTAAATATGTAGTTAAATTGATGATTTTAAGGGATACAACCCAATGTAAGTATATATATGAATGTTTGTGAATAATTTTATATGCGTACGTCAAATTAAGATCTGTGTCAGATTAAAATTATAATTACGCTAATACCTACGTATGTGCCCACCCTAACCCTAATAAAATCCCGCATTTTAATCTGATGCACGACATATAATATTTGAAAATACCAAATAATAATTAAAAAAAAAAACAGGTTATGGATTTTCAGGGTAAAAATTCTTCATCCTGAAGTCTTGACTCTCAAGGTTTGTAATCCTTTCATCCATCTTGTCGAGATATTCATCAGGATATTCATCAGCGTTGAGACTGAACGTTACGTTCTGAGTAGTTAAAAGAAGATTTTCACCTAACCCGACAGAAGAGTCAACAATTGCATTATTGAAGCAACTCATCATTTGATGGAAGTAAATTATTTTTTGATCGAAATCATTTTTTTTTTGATCAAATTCATTTACTTTTTGATCGAAATAATTCATTTTTTGATCAAAATCATTTACTTTTTGATTAAAATAATTGATTTTTTGATCAAAGTCATTTACTTTTTGATTAAAATAATTGATTTTTTGATCAAGATAATTTGTTTTTTGATCAAAATCATTTGTTTTTTGATCAAAGGCATTTGTTTTTTGATCAAAGGCATTTGTTTTTTGGTCAAATCCATTTACTTTTTGATCAAAGTAATTGAATTTTTGGTCAAAGTCATTGAATTTATGATCAAAGTCATTAATTTTTTGATCAAAATAATTTATTTTTTGACCAAAGCCATTTACTTTTTGATCAAAATTATTTATCTTATTATCGACATTTTCGAAACTTTTAGTACATTTATTATGGCTATTTGATTCTTCTATGTTAAAATTTAGCAATAATATACCGATGTTAGAAATGAAGTTTATTAACAAATGACTCAGACAACTATAAAACATTACCATTTTCAATAGGCTTTTGCTTAATGTCTTTAGAATTTTGCTTTCCCCTCATTTCATGATACTTTTGTTCAGTAAAAATAATAAATTTTTGCTCAGACATATTAAAAATTGTTGAAAATTAAAAATAGGCTTATTATTTTTAGTATCTGTAATTTTTCTAGTCGTACTTTATGAATTCAAAAAGAGCGCAACATGAATTCAAAGAGAGAATAATTAGCAACTATGTGATATATATAATATTAAGCTTCTTAACGTCCTTCCTCAAAAAGAAACATTCCCATTAGGAAATTTTTCTGACTACTTTTTTTGGAATTCCCTGTAAAGTTAATTTCATAATCCACTTTAGGATATGTGTACAAATGATCCCACTTCTTGATGCAGTGGTGCACTATTCTAACCACAAGTAGATAAATGCTTATAAGTTTTTACAACAAATGCCAAATCAAAATAGTATGCGGTTACATAATAGGTATTTATTCTTCATAAATATGATCATAATGCATAGTGGCTTGAACATAACAAGTGTGTCACATATACATTTCCTAAAAGCGAAATATTGGAAATACCGATACTTATTTGTACAAGTGATACTAACTCAAAAAGGAAATTTATAAATAACCAAATAAAGTATTTTAGTAAATAACGCGCAAGTTTTAGTTTCGAATTTTGGCCTAATTATGGCATTATTCGAAATAGCATGCATGCCCGTTATCTTGCTAAAAAATATTTGAATTTAGGATTGGAACATTATAATTAGAGGCTATGGAAATTTCATTCATGTAATTTTTCCCCAAGGCAGGTTTAAAAAAACTGTTTTCCCCTTTTCATTTCTTCGGTTTTTTTTCGCTTTACGTATGTAAACATTTTGTTCTCTAAATAGTTAATTTCTTTTTTAGGAGTTTGTATCACAAATAGGGTACATTCAGTACAGAAAGCCGATGGCTAATTATGAAAATGAATACTTATTTCCGAAATAAAAAAAGGAAATTAAATTTATGATGATTAAGACATAAAGTAAAACAAGAATCTTACTTTCTATTATTTTTAATTATTAACATAAGACAGGTTTTAACACTGGTTTTTTTTCGCTTGGCGTACGTACTAGTTGATCGAAAATAAAGTTTATTATTCACAATACCCCAAAGCAAGTTTATTATCGATATTTTTCAATATAAGTAAGTGTATATTGCCTTTTTTGCACTTCTAAATTTGGTCCTATGTTTTGTGGCGCCTTCATAATAATGCAAAAATGCGTAATTTTTGTACAACTGAAATTGCGGCTTATTTGTGCCGGTAATACAAGGTAGCCAGACTAGTATTAATAATAATTAATCCTATACAGTGTCAGAGGTAAAACCGACACCCCAAAGAACCTGCTAAGTGATCATCATAGTGGCATACTTACCTAATTGGTGGTGCCCATGACGATCCACTTGGAACATGTGCGCCCGGCCCCAAGAAAGCCATATGATAGCACACAAGCCTCCATGCGGGACCCCACAACCCCTCCAATTAAAGAAAGGTCGACCTGGACCAACCTGTTCGTGCTGGGAATGGACGTTGACTCCACCTACCCTACTTGGGTTAGGTGTGAGGCGATGTCAAGGGGGATGCGATTGTAGACAATAGGACCCCGTGACAAGTAACACTGAAACATTCTCATCGGTTCTATGGCGACCGTGAGAAATGTTAAAGTAACGAAAGGCTGTGTGAAAGGGGTTAAATGTTAGAACAAAAATGGTTGGATAACGATGGGAACAATGAGAAGAGTCGTGGTCTTGTGCGTGCTCTTCTCGCAGTCAATTCGTTATAAAAAGGGTGGAATTTCCCCCTCCCAAAAAATAGTACAGAGCCGTTCAGAGCCGTTCAGAGTATTATAATACTAGAGTTCCATAGTTGTATTGCCCCTATAAAATAATAAAAAAGTTAATAAAGCCCTCTTGACCTATAAAATATATTAACGCTCTTTAAATTCATTATACTTATCTTGTAACGCTCCTTAAATGATCGACTTGACCTTGTGCCAAATCGTAAAACTGCTTCTATTATCTTTGAGGAACGTTACGCGGCATAATCGTTTTTCAAGCGAAAATTCGTCACATTTGCCCCATCTCTGAACTCGTCCATCCAACCTCTCATAACAGCATAGCGGGCTTTATTATGATTGGCTGTTTTTTTTTTTAAATATTAATGGTGATGATTGGCTGATTTTTAAAGATCATCTCATCATAAAAAGTCTTATTAAACCAACGATTTGCTATCACAAGAGTGCACAAAAATGATTTGCAACTACGTATACGAATTCGCAGGGGTTATGGCATAAAAATCTAGAAATTACACCTTTGGCTCTACAACATACCAAAGGTAGTCGACGAGGTAATTCAGAATGTAGATGGGAGGTATGTTTAGGCATTCCAATTTAACAATAATCTACATGTATTAAACTGTAAAATAAGTTATTTTTCAAAAAGTTTTACAATGTTAAACTAGTTTATTTATAACTTATTTATTTTTCTAAAGACAGACATGTAGTACTGCCAGTAAATGGATTAGTAATGTGAAGTAATGGAAACATGGCTTGCAAACTTTATAAGAGTTAAAATATAGTGTTATGTATATTATATTTGTTATTTTTTTTAAATTAGTGTAATACATAATATTTTTATTTTTTTTTAAATTGATAAATAATATTTTTTTTCAAAATAAAATCTTGAATTTTTCTGCATCAAAAGTGATAGTTATGACTTTGAGTTATTAAATTTATAGTAATGTATATAGTATATGCTTAATATGTCTAAAGTTATGTTTGCTTTGAGTTTTTTTAATACTTCTTCTTAATTTTTTTATCTATTTTTTTTTAGTTTTTTGTATTAAAACTTATTAATCTACTTTTTTGAATTGTATATTTTTTTTTATTCTTCTGCCAATTCTTTTTTTTTCTAAATTGGTTTTTAAAATGTTTTGTTAAATCAGTTAAGATTATATTAGTTTTTTTTTTAGATTTGCTTTTTTTTTTATTTTGTCATAAATTTTTTATTTTTTTATATTTTTTTGAATTTTGGTAACAATGCCAGTTGGTTTTTATTAGCTTTAATTTGATATAGTACAAATTTATGGTTACATTTTAGGATTAATTATTACTAGTACTATATACTATCTAATTTATACCACTGACTTCACTCAGTTACCCATTATAGCACCTAAGTGCATGTTCACCACATACTTGCACGCAGTTATCTTGGCAACCACTTGCAGTCATGACACACATTAAACTACATCAGGAAAAAAAATAGAAAGCTATATATTGATTAGTAACCAAATGATATATAATGATATAAATCACCCCTGCCTATTTATAATGATTGTGATACTAATTGATAGATAACTATAAGCCGATTATAATCAATATATAACCGAAGTGATTATAATCGATATATAACCTAAACGATTAGAATCGTGTTAGGTAATATATCGATTATAATCGCTTCAGTTATATATCGATTATAATCGGCTTATAGTTATCTATCGATTATAATCATTATGTACTGTTATACTCATAATATTAGAATCGATATATACAAATCATTATATTAAATATTACAGCGAACCATTTTTATATTTATCAACTTAAAGTGAATAAAATTTATAAATTTAAATTGAATACAATTTATTTTATACATATGAG